AAGAAAACTGGACAAAGGGATTTCAGTTTTGTTTTGAAACATAGAAAAGAACAGGCTTAGCTGGACTTAAATCGTTTTAACAGAAGCTAGCATTGTTATTTCTATATAAAGATGGTATCTTTCTGTTTCAAAGAAGAAACACTGATGAAGATGAAGACTTTGTACACAGCACTGCATGAAAAGGGAGGGACTCTATTAAGCCATGTTGGCTTTTAGGAAATCAAAAGGAGGGAATGAAAAATGTTTCAAAATATCTTTTAATAGATTCCAAGCTCCATTAATTTCAAAAGAGCAGTTATCATGTTTCAAACTTTAATAATAATTGATATGAACTACTAGCGGGCATTCTTATTCACAAGTGGAACAGACAAGGAGTAGAAATGACAGTAAAAATGTACTCTAATGTAATTTAGGAATATACATTCTTAAACGTAAAAAAAGCACATGCTTTCATATTACATTAAATGCTCTTCCTTCCTTCCTTCCTTCCTTCCTTCCTTCCTTCCTTCCTTCCTTCCTTCCTTCCTTCCTTCCTTCCTTCTAGAGATTTTCTCTTTTCTTTTGCAGAGGAAAAGATCCTATAGAATTGACCTTCACTAGACAGTGGTAATTGAAAATAATTAATAATCTGACATACAATATTCATATGTACACTAGATGAGCTCTTGCTAATAATTAATTAAAAAAAATCTTCACAACGGCTTCATTAAGACATAATACAAAATCACGGTTTCTATTACAAGCCTGCAGGTCTGAAAATGCATTTAATTTGGTTTTTCTCTCTCTTGCTGTAGCTTAAGCAAACCACTGTTCTCTGAGTTCAAATATCATGGGAAAGTAGTTTAAAATTATATTTTTTAAAAAATCTCCTATGATATGAGGACAATGACAGGATGCTGGGAAATATATAAGCCCAAGACATATAGTATTTTACTCATTTTTCAGGAAATTCTGTATTCCCTTTACACCAGAAATAGTTCATTTATGTAAAAAGCAAAACCTCCATTGAGTTGAGTTACTCCACAATGGCATTTTTGGCAATTTTTTATTAAAGTGGCTTGGCTTCCCTTTTTCTGGAATGTATTTTCATTAAATCTAAGTTCAGAATGTACCTTTCCCTCTCTCACAAGGCATGCCAATTCAGTGTGGTGCTGATTTGAGCTTTGGGTAATTCAGTGTGTTGCTCTTCAGAAAAATAATGGCTCTTCCATTAAAATAAAAGTGCAGGCCTTATATGGAGGCAGGAGAACTGACTGAGAAAGTTCACCCATTCATCCAGTATGTCTAAATATTACTAAAAACAGAGAGCATATGGTATCAATTAGTTGAATAAACAAACACATATATCAGTTTTATCTGAAATGTAAGATAATCATCTCAGGATGAAGAGTAGACAGAATATTTACTAACACAAAAATCCTGCACAAGCTTCTCCAGCTTGTTAACCTTTGGTTGCTAACTTCAACTGAAACAAATACCATCTATCTTTCACTCCAACAAACATGTGCTCATGACACATACCTAGTAAACAATCCCAAACAGGGCTCAGAGAAGCTGGGGTAAAAAATTCTGTAAATAAGGTATCTACCCCACTGACAAAATAAATTCATCTCCAATTACATTGTCATACCTGCACCCACATGTCTGCACCCATACTCCCTAACAGAAGATGTTTTGGTGTTTAAAAAGTGATTAAAAATCTGATAGTGCCATTAGTTATTTCTCCTTAAGATATGGCCCAGGGTGAATAAGGAACCCTGTTCTGTTTTAATACAGGCAACATTGCCCCACCATGCTTGCTTTGAAAAGCTATTTGACTTGCTTTTCTGAGTAGCTTTAGAAATATCATTAGGAAACCCTTCTGACTTCTAAAAAGTCTGCAGTCATGGAGTATGAAGTGTCAATCATTTTGTTTAGTTTCAGTTTTTGGTGCTTGTATTTCATAGCCTCTCTATCATGACAGGAGGCTGTTACTGTTATGTTTCTAAAATGTAGTGGAGCCTTGGGAAAAGATTTCCTTTCAGGTTGAAAGGGAATCCTGTCAGCCCTGCAAGAATCATCCAAGCAGACAGCGTAAAGTTGTGTTGTCTCCCAAAACCTTATTCTGCCACCGATAGTTGTTCATCACTGATATCCCTCAGACTGCCATTTCTTAAAAAGAGAAAAGACCTTGGAGATTCAGAGTAGAGTGTTGCTTTTCAGTTATTTTATAACCTTGACAACTAACTCCTTAGAAACTAAAACGATTAAGGATCACTTACATGGACCTCTATTTTTTGAAGTATTTGAAATATTGACTAAAATAAGTCTGTATATATGTGTTTATGCATTATATTTTTATGACACAAGGTACCCATCATAGATCTTGTATACACATAAGCACCATCACTAGAAGAAAATATCCATGAAGAGATATCTCAGCATTTATTTTCTTTATAAATATATACTGAGTACAAAGGAAAGACTACTAAAAAAGCTAAAAATGAGATATCAATTGTAAACAGCTCATTTGCTACAGAAGGAATGGAAGTGATCCACCCATACATATGAATGACAAATTATTTAGCCACATATTTTAACATAAATATTGCTTTCCTGAAACAATATGTTAATTAAAATGTAATTATCGTAAAAACTGTACAGTATTATTTAGGTTATGCAATGAAGTTTTCCAAACAAAACATATGTACAAAAATATATAAACTTGGAAAAAGTGTCCATAAAATTGTGTATACATTTGTGAATATATATAATGCTTGGTATTAAAAGAGATTGTTTGCAAAATGTATATGAGGAAAAAATGCAGAGCAAATGTATCCCTCCAGGAGAAATAAAGAGCAGATGTTTATTAGGTGACTTCAAGCCAGTCACCAATTCTCAGTGCAACCTATCTCACAGCGTTGCACTGTAGTTGTCACTAAAAATCAGAAGAAAGAGAGCCATGCATCTCTCTTTTCATTCACGCAGAAAGAGATATAAATCTCACATGAAATTTAAAAATAGCACACACATCTCTTTTAAAATATAGAGTTATTAGCACAATAAGGTGAAACAGAATGGCAGATAAATCAAATGTCATTATGGCATTTCCCTGAAGTGTGAATGTTTAAATGAATGGGGATTTAAAATTCTCCTTTCTACCTACCTTTTTCATGCATACAAACTTTTTCTAAACAAGCTGTTTTGAATTTACCATTTAAATGCTGACTTTATTTTGTGTCCTGCATTGAAAGGATTCCTTGGAAAGCCATATAAAAACATACCTGGGTAATGAATTAATAGTATGCTGACCCCTTGAGTAAGTTAAAGTTGTGTAAGTGTCTTACTTTATTATGTCAGATCCTTTCTGCTTCTGAGTCGAGAGAAGGAAGAGTTTCATTTATTGTCACACTGAGCTTTAGAGTAGGCCAAATCAGCATGAGTAGCATCTGCCTGCTCTAAAGCTCAATGAATTATGAAACACACGCCCTCTTTCTTCCATTTTTCTCATGTTGTGCTGAACAGGAGCCTCATCATATCATATTTGTAAAGGGCTAAAGAAATGGCAGAACTACCAGGCAAAGTGTAACTGAGTACTCAATCGTGCTGTGGGCTCAGAACATTCATGAACTTTCCCTCAGAATCTAGACACAACACAAAAGACAAAAACTTTGTAGGTAGCTAATCTAACCAGATTCCTTCTGGAACAATCTTTGTTGTCACAGGATAGATTGTGCAGCTGGTTTTTACTTTTTTTTTTAAATTAAAGTATCACTAGTTCCATATCTTGAAAAGAAGACTATATCACCTGTAAAAAAAATTGTACTTTTATGCCCTTTTTTTTCTTCACAAGAGATACCAATTTCATACAGATTCTACATGCAGACATGCCTTTTCCCCTATCCAGTGGCTGGGCAATGCAAGTCTACTGCCATTTTACCTTGGGTGTTTATGGCAGACTTTTGAGATTTATGATCTCATGGAAGATAGGTCAACATACTTTTATGCTAACTCAAGGACAGGAGGAATGAACTGTGAGAAAGAAATCATAGGCAGCTTTGTAATCCTTTCCCTTTAGTCCAGGAATGGGCAATCTGTGATCCACATCCCAGTGGACCCAAATTTCCTTTTCTGCACTGGGATCTCTGATTTCCTACCAGCATCTGAAAAACATACACAACTGTAGGGACTTGGCCATGTTGTCATCAGGAGTCAAGACTGAAGCAAAGGCATTTATACATACATACCCTAAAATAGGCTTAAACCAGTTAAAAAAAAATAATTAAAGCTCCTCCTCCCCCGACACACATAGGCTTCCTCCCAAACATCCTGAGAATACATGAAAACTCCTGGCACCCACTTATGCATGGAAATCCATCATGTTATCTTCTGCAGCTAATGGACATTAAAAACATGCTCACTACTAGTATACTCACTACAATGGGTTGGTTTTTCATATATTTAATGCAGGCATTTACCATCTGCCCTAAATAAAGATATGAAAGATTCTGAACTTGAAACATAATCCTAACATAATCCATGGTTATGCGTTCTGGAATTATTTCATATAATTAAATAAGACATTTAAACTGACAGAAAAAATCAGAGAACATCAAATAAGTAAGTTGAATCTATAGAACTCACTTACATGAAGAGCAAAATCACTCACTGAAATCAGATTGAGCTTTAAAATTTGTATTATGCTTCTGTGACCGTATGTTTTAGATGTATTAGCATTTGAGCAGCTTATTTGCAAATCTGATCGATAGTTTAGATGTCTCAATTAATTTGAAATATTTTGATTCTGTTGGTTTAAGTGGTGCTATTTTGAGAGACCTTCACAATATTATGCAGCATCATTAGGAGAATATAAAGCTGTCAAAAGTTTAATTCAAACTGGCTGAGTATAAAGAAATAAAATAAAGTTTGCTTTAAAAGTAGCACTAACTTTAATTCTTTTTTAAAGAGAAGGTTTTTTTTTAATGCAAATCTATTTATTTCAGAGTTCAGAGATCACAAACCTTCAGTCTGCGATCTTGGTCACCGCTGCAAAGAGAATTTACAGACACCTTAAATGCCTTCCAAGCTGGGTTTAAGTTATTCATCACCACCTAGAAGTTAAAGGAAAAGAATAAGCTTATTTCAACCTAAAATGCAAAGCTATAATAATGATTTAAAAATAGTCCTTTATTATAAATACATTTTTAAATTGGCAAGAATAATTAAGCTTTATGAATAATTAAGCATGGTATCTTTGCCTACACTTTTTGAAATACTTTTTGAAGGCTTTGTACTTGCCAAAGTCAATTGATTTAATCAATACAGAACTTGCTTATTAGGAATTGCTTTGACATTTGAGGTTCTTTTTTCCCCCCATTAGGCTCCTTTCCAAAGCCCTTTAAAATCAGTGGGAATCTTTTTTTACTGATTTTCTTTCCTTTGGGTGAAGCAAAAATAAAGAATACTGAATGAGAAAACGGACTGTGCTATATAAATTTGATTAAAAAATAAATATAAATAAATAAAATATCAAAAAAGAGATTAAAAAGTAAAACTTTAAGAGCGGAGAAAGAAGTTTCACTTCAGAATGAAAAGAAATATTGGAAAGGAATTTACTCTCTTTATATCAAGTATATAACCTGTTCATTCTTACATCCCACTGCTAAAACTTGGATGATTGAAATATTGGTGAGACTCTGATATAAGAAAGATAACTGATGAACTGAATAATACTAAAAAAAATGTGGGAAACTTGGAAATATATTCCAATAAAGCAGGATAAGCAAGTTTTTTGTGGTTTTTTTAAAAAAAATTCCATTAGCCACAGAAGACATGACAGTAATGCACTTATATCACTGGGGCCTGAAGTTGAAATTTTAAGTCTCTAAAGCTTTTGGAGAAGTTAATTTTTTTTAAAGGTGCACATTTTAAGATATATTTCATCAACTCTCTTTCCTCCTCCCCCTAAGGCAAACTGCCGGCCCACGGGCTGGTTTCATCATACCGGAGCCGTGCCCACCCCATTGCTGGCAATGGCGAAAAAGCTCCGATACGTTGCGCGACGTCATGTGACGTCGCGAGTTTGACATGTCTGCCCTAAGGTTTAAGTAATCTAAGATGGAGATTTTGCCACTTCATTTTAAGAGCACATTTCTGGGACTTTCTGCAGTGTGTTTAGCCTGGAAAAGATATAGTTAAAGCTCATAGCTATTTGAAAATATGTATCAGGATGTCACAATGATATTATTCCAAAGAATTCAAATTACAGTGTAGATTCTAAGCACAAGGAAAAGAACTTCAGATTAAATGTTAGAACAAACATTCTCATGGAAAATACTGTTTTAGAAAGTCTCCTTCTGTTACACATTTGCAGGCAACCTAGATGACTGCTATTTCCATAATGATTTTCCATGTCAGCAAGGTTGGGCTACATGACTTTAGAAGTTCATCTTGATTTGTTTTCATGAAGTTCTCTCATTCTCTTTGTCCATACTTAAGAAAACTTAAGTATTCCCACATTCTATTTTTGTCATATGATTTCATATTCAAACACTGCTGGAATATTCAAGGATGTGTCCAATGAGAATTGGCCACACTGCTATGTTAACAACAGAATAGTAATATCAAAGTAAAGTAGTTGAAAGAAGTAATAGAACCAACAGGGCTTGGCAAGCAAATGTTTTAAGAGTAGGAGCTGTCTACACTTTTGCTTTCTTTGGTTAGCTAAGGGAACAAGGAGGAAATGTTAGTTAGCTTGGAATACAAACTATATTTATGGAGAGACCCCTAAGGAAGTGAGTTTCCCTCAACATCACAATGAGAAGATGGCACGCTCAGTAGCCATAGACCGTCTTCAGGCAGAAGATTAGAAATGGAAATAAAATGGTCAATTTTTATTACACAAACCATCTTGTAACATATATGTCTTTTCAGTTGGCATTTTGGGTTTTGAGAATGAGAGTGAGGACATCTAGACCTGATCACTGTTCCTATAGTTTCTTTCTGTTTAGATCAAAAGAAGTACTTTTCTGCTTAAACAATGAGTAAATTTTCAGAGAGAAGATTTTGCTACAATAAATGTCTTTCGTCACATGCTAGAAATAATTTTTCCAGAGCACTGCTGGCAACATCACATTACAGTAGCATGGAAGTAATAATATGATCACAATATACTATGCTTTGAGATTATTAATAGACAGAGAGACGTTGATACAGAGAATGATTATACTTTTTAGCCATTTTATTATTGCTTGATTTTCATTCATGGGATCATTTTAGCAGAAAATGAGGAGAAAAGACGCATCAATTGCAATGTACTGTTTGTACTATCCAAAGTATGCATGCAACTCAAGTACAACTACATTCTCCATAACACTTGCACTATTTGTGAACTTTTCCAGAGAGTATTTAAATGATCTATTATTCATTCCTTGAGCACTGAAGCACTTGCTCATTATGCTATTCATGCAGAAGAATGGCACAACACAACACCAAAGCTTCTCACTCCAGTTAAAAGTAAGCTTTCACAATCACTTTTGCTTTTAACAGTCTGAACAACCCACCAGTCTTTCCGTTTTTGACCAAACATTTTGACAGTGTAGTCAAATATTTTTAAAATCATTTCCTTGTATTAAAGAAAAGGTACATATGGTGTTATTCGTATGGTCGGCTTTTGAGTACACAATATATTTTTGTCACCAGAAGGACTGAACAGGAACTGCACTCTAGGGGAGAACTAATACATTGCTTTTCATTCTGGTCATAATCTATATTAATGTTTCTCAGCTTTGGCAACTTTAAATGTGTGGATTTCAACTCCCAGCTTTCTCCACCCCAACCTGGCTGGGGAATTGTGGGAGTTAAGAAGCCCAGACATCTTAAAGCTGCCAAGATTGAGAAACACTAATTTAGATCAAGGGCCCACAATTAGCAAGAAGTAGAGCTTCCATTTATTTCAGTGGAAGTTTCCCATCCATGCAAATAGTGTGAGGATCTGATGGTTTATAACTGCAGCAGCATCAAACAGTCCAGCACGAAGAGGAGAAGTTAGGTTAAGATTGTAACAATGAAAAAGAATGGAACTAAAATATATCTTGCTGTTTTCCTAGCCCACAACCAAGATTTCTTAAATTTAGCAAGGCTATCTCTCTTCAGTTACACACTAGAAACAGGATATATTATTTATAATATAGCACTTTTTTGAAGGCCTAAATCCCTGCTGTAGCATCACAGATAAGAATCACATTATTCAGTGGCTGTATTTTTTTTTAAAAGAGCACAAGTAGAACAATACCCTCAAAAGAAATAGTGAGTTTACAAATATACAGTATATTTAAGTAAGTATGTTTGTGTATATGTGTGATATTTCTCAACTTACCTCGGTCCTGTGAACAAGCTGTTGGGTTGCATCATCGTTCATTCGGAAGATTTCCAGAAAGGGATCAGATTTGCTGAAGAAATCCTGAAATGGAAAACATGGCACTTTTTTATTGTCAAAATTCTTGGATTGTTTCACACAATCTTATTTGCTTGCCTACTGAATAGGGGAAAAGCCAGTTTTTGTTTAATCTTTCAATCAATATCTACTTCTATTTCAGCTGCTTCTTTTCCAAATAGCCTCACATGTCCCGGCATAAGAACTTCATCCTATCTGTGAAATGGTGGTGATACTATTATGGCTTGGGCTGGCTTTGCTGCTTCTGGACCAGGGTAGCTTACCAGAAAGTTAATGTCTTGGAATGGCAAAGTCTCAACCTTAATCTTATAGAAATGTTGTGGAAAGACTTGAAGTGGGCAATTCTCATGAGGAAGCCTACAAATATCTAAAATTCTCCAAGCTGATTTGTAGGGATGATCAATAGCTACTGGAATTTTTTAGTTATTGCTGGCCAAGAGAGCACAGCAATTACTGAAAACAAAAGTTCACATATTTTTGCCACACACAAATATGCAGCCTTGGATCATTTTCCTCAAAAAATAAATGAAGAAATATAACTTTTTTTCACTCATTTAATTGAATTTTCTTTATCTAGCTTTCTATAGAAAACATGTTTTAGATTATTGATAAAGAGAAATATTGAATAGAGGTCTAAACTTTGTGTGTGTGTGTGTGTGTTTGAATTTTTCCCTTTCAGATAATGTAAAATTATTTTGTTCATCTATGCTTGACACTTCAAGATGAAATGAAATGAAAATAGTAGTCACCATCCTATGAATAAGTAACAGTTGGTGACTTCCCCACTTGGAATGACATTGTTAAAAGTTTGGACAATCTCAATTTGATTACATAAACACTACTTTGTAGTTTTCTTGGCCACATTATGAATGTGAGTTGCCACTATCTTTTTCTTGATTTTTTAAAAATGTTCTTCTGAATACACAGGTCTGTTTTTTTCAGGTGGTTTTCCTGAACAGTTCTGATTTTTCACCTTGATCTTCTAACCAAGTACAAACCACTTGTCTATGCTTAGATTTTTTGGGGGGAAGAGTAGCTCATATCATCTAGACATGTTCACTTTCTATAAATGAGAAGTAGTCAACTCCAACTGAATACAAAACGTTGCTAGAGAAAATCTTAATAACACCTCTGATGCAGATAACACAGGGAATTTTTGGGAATTTTTAACATATAGTAAACAGATATGTATACCAAATTCACTGAACTCTCAAATCAAATGAATATATCACAGTTCATTCCATCACAAGCTTATTTATGTCTTTGACTTTACAGTAAATAAAAGATCCCACAGCATACAAAGAAAAGAAAAAAGAAACAGTTATCAGATTAAAACACCCAAAGAGAAATAAATACAATATACACTACATAAAAGATGTATACACTACATAAAAGAGCAAATTAACTTAAAAAGATAAGCAAATTATCAAAATTCCTAGACAGTTAAATATCTAACAGCTTTGATAAGTGCAGTGAATTTAGTGAACTTCTGAAGATATGTGGTGATGTATCTGCTTAGAACAGGCAGAGATCTCATCCTTCAATAAATTGGTTATGGATTAAAAGAAACATTATTAATTTAGTTTGCCATGCTGTGTAGAAGAGGCATGACAAGAGGATGATGTGGGAAAATATTTCTGTTTCCTTCAGTGGACTAGGGAAAAGTTGTTCTCACACAGGAACACTGTGAAATCTTTTTTCTAACAGGGAAGATGATAGGACATTACCAACCTGTGGGTTGGTAAAGGATACTTGTTAAATATGCCACATTAGAAAGCTATCTCCCATACAAGCTTGCTGTTATAGGGTTATTTATTAGGTTCACAGGCTAATAAAAATTCAAGAGATAGTCTAGTAAGCACACAGCAGCAATTTTCCATTAGAATATCTGCAAAAGAGTTTATCTCTATTCACTTTATTTAATAATTAAATAAAAATGGATTACATTTCCACTTTAGGATAACTCAGAAAATATGTTATTCTATATGAATAATAATAACTTGCTGAAATTCCTAACTGATTCTATTTGGTCAATTGACCTGGAGAGTTGATGCATAATCTTGTTTGCTTCAGACTCAGTTGAGTCTGGAACATCCCTAGGAAAAACTCTATTGACGAACTTAATAACTATAATGATAACTGCCTTCTTTTCAAGGCACCGTGTTCAACAGATTACAGAGTACATTTGTGTAAACAAAGAAAAATCAACTACTGGTGCACCTGTTCTTTTGTATCTTGGGGCGTGCCTTTTTCCCCTCTCCTTTTTTTTCTTTTTTTGCATGACCAGAAGCTTTCAAACAATATATAACAGATCCCTATAATTTCATACTGTCTAAAAATGTGACTACATTAAATCTCTGAAAAATTAAACACAATGAGCTGAGGTTAAAACTTCACAATCAAGAACAAACTGTTCTCCCAATAAGGATAATTCACCTTTCAGATGAGCCACAAAACAAAGGTTTTAGATATTTAGAGTGATTAAAGATACCTAACTTAGAGATGTTATTAACCTTTGCACCTTAGTCAAATTACAGATTCATTACACTTTCTAACCTAAATATTGCTGGCAGTTTTAATTAGATTTGTGGTTTCCTTCTAATCCCATACAGACTATGCTGTAAACTTTGCATGTATTCATACAGTATTAGCAATATTCTTTTTTTTAAAAAAGAAAGTCTTCTGTCTGTTCTATTTACATAATCAACTTTTGCTGTAATATAGGTACATTTTAAAATTGATATACTTGTATCTCAATGGTAGAGAACCTTTAAGGAGATATACTAAGCTCTAGTTAATTAAATATATAAATCTTAGCAAAGACATAAATGGATATTGGTGAAAAGAAATCCAAGCTTGTTTCAGGACTGAATTTTGCCTTCTGGTGCCATCTTTTTACAAGAGGCCTGACTTAAAGCTACCATATTAAATTTCCTATCATGTAACATTGCTTACCAAAAATCTGGAAAATTAAATGATGGTTTCCCAATTCAGCCACTCAACAGGAGGGCCATTGCACAATTAGTTTGAACTTATTAAGGCCCAGATGCAAATGCTGGGTTTCATGACCTCATTTTTTCCAGTTTGAACATGGAAAACCATGAGTCTTTGATGTTACTTCAAGAGCGTTATTTAATTTCCATCAACTGTATAACTATTTACTGATTATTCAAGTAAGAATGGTATGGCAAAACTGGATTCATTTGATCAGAAATTATATATTTGCTTCAAAGTTGGTTTTGGGAATGTCATTTAAATCTTGCCAACACAATCTCAAAATGAGATACTTAAAATTTTATATACTGACATTATCTTGTCTCTTATCAATGCTTGTCCTAATAGCACAGTACATTTAGATAGTGGGAAGGGTTATGTTCTTACATTCTGTATCGTATTTACTCAAAAGATCAATAGTTTCTAAAAAGTTAAAACTTTACATGAATTTATTTACTGTAATAATAACATTAAATTTAGACACAGCTATGTATAAGTTGCTTCTATATGGGAACAGTGCTCAGTGTTTATTTACAGATGTATCACTGGGAATCAGAAGATATATAAATTTAATATATTATGGCTGGTCACACAGTCATCCAGATATATAGACTGCATTTGGCATTTCAACCCACCTATCGAGTCCTTTCCAATGACTCGGGATAGGCAGTTGTTAACTTGATAGTGTTATTATTATTATTTGGAGATACTTTATCAAAAAGATTAGTATCTTTTCTTCCTTCTTCACTGTTTTTTCTATCCTATCCTATCCATTCCATTTTTTTATTCTATCAACTGCCTCCTTCTTCATATCACTCTTAACTTTTCTACTTGGCTTCCCTATAAGCTTTAGAGGAATGCAACTAATCTACCATTTTGTCAAAGATGGAGGTAACATCTATGACATCTTTTTTTCATGCGTTTTGAGCTACAGGACCAAATTTAAGGTATAGAGTAGTATTTATATTTTTGCTTGAGTCCATCTGAATTCTGTAATATTTATTCTGAGATATGTAAAGTAAGAGATAAGGTAAGGTATAAATATTGTAGAATAAAACAGAGCATAAATAAAACTCAAAATCATTTCTAAAATAAATAACTTTTTCTTAATGAATGTCTATCTTCTCTGGTTAAATGGCCAAAATATTTTGGCAGGAACACATGAAAAGCACTAAGTTTCTGGATACCTGATACATTAGCTGGAAAAATCTCCTGGGATGAGGGTAGCATGCTCAATAATTCAGACTCAAACATTTGATCAAATTTATATTGCAAGATGTCAGCTTTAAATGTTATTGTCTGTGATAAGTTGGAAGAAGCCAACTGCTGTGATTGTTGGCATTTTAAATAAACAAGGTCCCCACATAATTAAATTGTCTTTTTCCTAATTACATTCCATTGGGAATTTTACTCCCTCATTTCTATGCAACTTGACGAAAGCCTCATTATGTGGATTAATCTGACAATCTCCAATATGTTTAATAACATTAGCACTACAAAAATAGCTGCAGGGGAGGATGTCTCATTAAATCACATTTGTCTGCATTTCTCTTTCATTCAGTAAGGTTAAAATAAAACAGTTGGCTTACCTTGTCATCTAATTTTCTTGCACTAAAGGAAAGCTCAACATAGTCATCATTGCCAGATAATTCTTCAGCGATTACCTGTGTGAAAAGCCACAGTTACATTTCAAAGGGAATGAAGAATAAAATCTCAGGCAACACAATCTAATGATGTGCATGCATGGAGAACAGAAGGATTCATGAGGCTCATAATGTGATAACTTCACTATCAGGAATGGAACACAAATGCTAGTATATTATTCCATTTCTGCATTCTTGAAGGCCATGTTCTCCAGAACATGACTGGGAGTCAGAAGTATACACATTCTTCCAAACATTTGATATATAACATTATTTTATATGTTGATACATGTTATCTGAAACATTTTATCATGTATATATTTGATCTATGAATCATAATTATTATGCCCATATCCATTTTATTGTGTATATTATATTATAATATCACAATATGCATATTATACCTATTGTGTATTATGCATTGCTGTATTGTTGCCACCACAATATTTCATTTTGCATATTGATCTGAAAAAGCTTCATTTTGATTTAAAAATGAAAACTAAACACACAATCATTCAAGCACAATCGTGGTCCTTCTCTAACCCTTTGAGAGTTAAAAGCCAGACTTTTCTAGAAATATGTTAAGGTATTACACACAATGTCTATGGACAGTTATAATATGCAAATGTGATGTCACTCCCAATATTCATTTACTGAAAAATGTTGTTTACTGTTTAAAGGAAACAGGGAGGCTTGTTTGTCTCCATCAAATAAAACATGAGAGCCACTAGAAACCAGATAAAATGGCTTTGAGATTGAAGTTTGGCCAATGAACTGTCTTCAATGTGTTTGTGATTTGAAATGATGTGCTTAATTGTTATGGTCTTGCTCTACACATGCCCAAACATGCAAAAAGAGCAAAAGAACTACCGTGTTTCCCCGAAAATAAGACTTAACCAGATAATAAGCCCTAGCATGATTTTTCAGGATGCTCATAATATAAGCCCTACCCCAAAATAAGCCCCGATTAAGATCGTCAGCCAGACAGACGCATTTAGTATCATACAGTATTTTCCCCAAAATAAGCCCTATAACTGGAAAATAAGCCCTAATGCGTCTTTTGGAGCAAAAATTAATATAAGACCTATCTTATTTTCAGGGTATATGAGCTGAGCAGAAACATATCTATGGGCTATACTCATTATGGTGCTTATGTTTCTCTAAATACATGAAAAAAGCTTCTATATGAGTAAATTTTATGAATGTAACTTAACAAGATGAGCAATAGACACTCCTGTCCCTTTTCCATGCATTCAGGGAGAATGAAATGGTTGAGAATAGAGCAATGATATTATATAATTACAAATTGGAGTTTGACACTCAGTATTTGTAATTCTGTCACCCAAGACAGTCTACTCAGTCACAGGCCTATAAAAATCTACAAGAATCTCAAATGTTTGGAAAGACAAATTTGATATTATTTACTACTCTGCAAATGGCAATTTATGTGCAAAAAGTACTCCATTTCAATTTTGTATATAACTCACATAATCTCTTGTATTTTGTTTATTCCTGCCTGGATAAAAAATAATTGAATTGCACAGAATACCAATTCAGTGAGAGTTATGACAGTACAGAACATATTTGTCTGTTCATTTTGGCACTTTGAAGCTCACAAAATATCTTTAAGGTGTTTGATGTGCAGTTGTATGATTAAAATCTGTTTAGAAAAAAAAATGTTGCTACCTTATTGTGTGCATATGCTTTTATTTTCTTAAAGTTAATGAAAGCCTTTGTCAATCAAGTACATTCTGATATGCTATTCTAATCTGATATGCTATTCTAAAACATAAGGGCATTCTGCAGGGTCTGCTCAGAGGAGTCAATATCTACAACATGTAAGGGGGAGACTTGTAAACTAAACTCCACCCCTTCTCTTCATGAAATAAAGGAGCAGGGATTTGGAATTGTGATGCTCTGCCTGCTATCTTCAACTGTTGATCACTGCCCTCCCCACACACACTACTAATGGGCCCACTCACTGAGGACACCAGTTTGGTCAAGGCTGGTTTCATTATATTTTTCAGACAAATATTGTTAGGCATTTGATTAGTCCTAAACAAAACTACTGTTCCAGGCTTACTGCTGAGGTGACACATGCTAATTCCATTTATATTTCATGTCATGGGGCTCATTTAATTAGGTTATAGATCCCTCATAACAATTTCAAATTCCATTCCAATTTAGAATGTAGTATTTATATTCACATAGTAATATTATAATGGTTATTCCATTCTTTATGTAATGGGAAATTAATGAAAATAATATAGTTCCCTGAGATATCGCTTTCCCCAGTAACTTTTAACCTAAAAGTACCTATTTCAGTAGTGCTTTTCAGATTTCAAAGTTGTAAAAATAAAACAGAGAAGTGAAAGTTTCACAAAGAATTACATGTGGTGAGATAAAATTAGATTTTAAAAGGAAAATGGTTTGGGTTAAGAGGACAGCAACCACTCTGCTGTTGTTCTATAACCTAAGGATAACAATTGCTGATTTGAAATTGAAGGAATATATACCCTAGTGCCTTCCAGCTATTTTGAATAGCAATTGAAGTTTTTGGCAATTGCCTATACTGGTTTCAGTATATAAAGCTAGTAATTTGCTTCTCTGCCTGTAAACTAGTCTACTGCACGCATATTTTATGAAGAGCACACCTTACCGTTCAATAAGTTAACATAAATATTTTTAAACACATGCTATGTTTTATCATTGTCAGGTTTTGGAAACATACGCCAACAAAGAATTTGCATTTAAAACTCAGCAAAGATGGGCAAAGCTAATGTTAAATATGAATTACTCTTTTTTCACTCAAGATGAAAGGGAGAAAATATTACTACCAGATAGACCTACCGTTATGGAAGATTTGCCTGCTGTGTTGCCATGTTTCAATAAAGATTTTGAAAGTTTTCTCTGAGAAACAATCTGTATGAAATAAAAAAGGAAAATTGATGAAACAAGCCACAGTTTATGTCTAGATGATATATGCATGCAGCTTACTGAATAATTAACAGAAAACAAAATTAAAAAGTCTATGCCACATAATTTTAAAATTTAAAACAGTAAAATTTAAGCCAGAAAAGTAAGTGCAATAGTCCACAATATTTGGAGAAAAATTCCTATGTTAAATACTGCAACATATGGAGGAGTAAATGAATCATACAAGAAAGAAGACAACAAATTCCAGACTTCTGATGTAGCCAGAGAGAAGCCCATTTCAGTTATTTTATTTCTGCTTAGACATCACTGCTACCCTCTGGAACAGCCGTCTACAATAGGGCTAAAAGATCTACAGACCTGTCATTTTCTGAGTTTCCAGTTATCTGTCATGTACTCACTTAATTTCCTAGAGAAAATATGACCTGCACCTGTTTTCTCATAGCTTTGCAGTAAATCAGTATAAGCAATAGCTGCTATAGCAGAGGAAAGAAAACTCTGAAAAAGAAGGTTTAGAAAGCAAAGGTTTATTATCCAGCCACAGGAACTAAAGATTAAATGCAAGATCAATAAAAAATGTTCTTGTTTGCTTTAAAAATCCATTAAAAATAACCTATTTAACACTTTAGTTCTGAGATAAAATGCTATTTGCTATTCATTACAGGAAAAAAATGGTAATTCTCTTGCAAAAAAAAATGGGTAGAGACTTTTTTTTTGATGCACTACGTTAGCTTTATATAATGCATGTCATATGGGAGCAGAATGAAAGTTCTGATGTATACAATATAGTTGAACCAAAGGTTATGCTCACCTCTTAAGAGATGAATCAGACGCAGCCCACCAAAAACAAGAGGGAGTTGTAACAAACATTAAATCTGATTTAATTTAATATAGTGCATATTTAAATTTGCTCCAGCAGGGGGCAGCAGCAAATTCACCTCACCTTACCTTGGAAGCTAAAGTTCTTGTCTTGATTAGGGAAAAAAATGTTAATATGCCAAGCCTAGCGAAATCTAAAAAGGCTACTAAGGGCTAAAAATCTACTTCATGGATGCAGCCACCAGAAATGAGCCAGAAATACCAGTAATAATGTAAATAACATTAAATGTTTAATGTGTAAATAACAGTGGTATTGCAATATCAGTAATTGGTTTGTGGCCAGTTGAAGATTTGAACCCATATTTCACTGTCTTAATCCAAAGTCAATACTTTGCAAATAATTTCATTAAGATGTGTGATCTTGGACAAGCTGCAGTATGATCTGACTAATTCTGCCTATATCACTGCACTATCTGAAGAAAAAAATAGAGGAGATTATTTTAGCCAGTTTGAGCAACTTCCTAGACAGACAGGAATAAAAAGGGAGTAAATAATACAATAAAAATGAGACAGGTTACAATTCTGTCAATAAAATACCTAAGAAGATTTCTGATGGAGCTTAGTATGCTGAAATATGTACTCACACAAAAGCAGTGTTTTCATAAATAGAACAGCTGGGCTTATTTTGATCACTGTATTGTTCATTTCCATTAAAGGGCAATTTGTGTAATGTTGCCACAGTAAATAATTTCTGGATAGAAATGCATCTTATGTCAGTTGTCAAATTGAAAATAAAATAGAAGCATTTGGCAGTTCAATGTCTTCATCAATTCCTTCAAGAGTAATTAATAATTACTGATTGCAGGACATCACTTATGTAATTGAGAGGAAATCAATTTCTGGTGGCATTAAACTGCCCTTTGAATATGCATGCTAAGTTGTGCTACGAAGCTAGGCGCTTCAGAAAACATGTTTATTGCTTATTCATAGGTGTAAAAATTCCCTATCAGCTTACTAACTTGTAAAGAAGCATATTGCAACTAAGGAGTACACATAAGAAGCAACCGACAGATGAAATTCAAAAGCCATCAAAAATGGAGGCTCAGGGTTCAGGCACCATGACAGAATTCTGATATGGCTGAATAAATAGATTTTCTTGAAAGCCACCCGACTGTCAAAACATTCAGCTTTAATGTTTTTTCTTCAATGATAGAAAAAAACCTGATTCTTAGAAAGTTGAATGGCATCTATCAATTTATACACAAAATAATTTGCACAAGTTGGTTTCATGAAATACAGCAGCTGTGGAAAATCTTGCTAGAATCCCATATTTACCAAATCTCAAATAAAGCAAAAAATAGCAGCTAGATAATTATATTTCTTTTAAATTCTGTATCTGATTTTCAGACACAAGTGTACAAGTCCCTGAAGCTTTCTTGGCAAGGTTTTTCAGAAGCGATTTGTCACTGCCTTCTTCCTAAGGCTGAAAGTCACCCACTGGCTTTGTGCCCAAGGAAGAACTAGAACTCACAGTCTTCTGTTTTCTACCGTGATATCTTAACCACTATACAAACTGACTCTCTATATAATTAAATAAACCTATAAACTGACAGAGCTTCTAAATTTTACATGTAGGGAATAACGGTGTGGGGACTGCAAGACACAATTACATGGATTGGCAACCTGCAGTCCTCTAAATACAGTAATGCTGAGCCAGAATTTCCAGCAGCTCCACAATCCATAATGACAAATGGTAGGAGATATAGGTTAACAATACACAGACAATCACCTATTCTGCATCCATATACAACTGGATTATGTCCACAGGGATTATATACATTTTTTAAAAAATGTAAAAACTTTAAAAATCATGTATATCTGTGTATGTAAGAGTGAGGCAACCATGAGAACTAATGATGAGCATTTCATGAAATTGAAACTGGTACTCGCCACTTCACTAGAAGGGGTTGCTAACATTTTACCCTCACTTTGGAATACTATCAGGTCCAGAACTCCCCCCCCCAATTTTGGGATTAATGACCAGATTCCTAACACCACTGACCTTTATGGATATTCCATATTTTTGCATGAAGCTCTACCACAGTGACATACTAAGAAATTTGACATCTGGAACAGATGTTTTTTAACACTTTCATTCTCTATATTACAAAATTATGTTCAGTAATAACTATGAAATGAAATGGATAATAACAATGGCCAGAAAAAATAGAAAGTGAAATAAATAAATATATATTTGTTTTCGTAGATTTTCATGGACTCTACTCGGTCCCCAGGGATCTTAGACCCTCCGGCCCGGGATCACCGGCTGATGTTATGCAATGCCAGGTCCGTGGTAAATAAGGCCCCCCTCATTCAAGAACTTATTCAAGAGGGGGGTGCGGACCTGGCAGGGATCACCGAGACCTGGCTGGGCATGGAAGGGGGTGTACCCCTCGTGGACATCTGCCCGCCG